CGCCTGGCGCTGGTGGAGGCCGAGGACGGCTCGTTCGTCGTGTTGACGATCTACCACGCGCTGTACGACGGGTGGTCCTTGTCGATGCTGATGGGCGACCTGATGGACGCGTACAGCGGCGTGGTCGTGCCGAGCCTACCGAGTTTCTGCAACGTGGTGGACTACATCGAGGCGCAGGACGCGGCAGCGACGGAAGCGTACTGGCGGTCGTACTTGGGCGGGGCAGTGCCGACACCGATCGGGTAGTTGGTGGACTTGTCGTCAAGGACGCGGACAGGTGTGTGGCTTTCGTGTTGGCGTGTATCTGACGATGGTTGTAGGATCATGCGTCCGCTGATCAGCACGGTGCCCTGCCGCGTCCGCTTCGACGACGCGTGGACGTTGTCATCGCAGCTCAAGTGTGTGCTGACGGACCGCGTGGCGACGATGGAGCACTCGCACGCGAGCCTGACGGATGTCAAGCGATGGAGCGGCATCGAGGGCGACTTGTTCGACACGTTGCTGGTGTATCAGAACTTGCCGGGAACGAAGGACGACGCTTTGGTAACGGACTACGAAGAAGTGCGTGTGGAACACGGGGTGCAAGCATCCATGGAGTACGCGTTTGAGCTCATGATTGCGCCGACGGGGAGCGCGGCGCGCCGACTCGCAACGCTCCTGGACACTCCGCTCCGACAATGAATGCAATATGTATTTGACTTTACAATAATCCGAGTCGCTTTCTACGACGCACCGTGGAACGACTCTTCAATTGTCTGCTTTGACGCCGCGGTCACCGAGGGCTTACGAGGCATGTTCGATAATGATGGTGTTGAAACTGCTATTTTTTCCAATGGGATCGTGTTATTGAGCTATGTGGATGATATGCTTTTGTGCGACATTGCCATCGCCCAATCCAATTGTGTGAAATATTTCATCCAATCATTGCACTTCCTGTTGTCGGTCGTCCAATCCCTTGATCAAAAATTGTCGGTTTGATGTCGGATGCCATGTACATGTCAAGTTAAGTATTATAGTTGTCTAAAGCAAACAGTCAGCGCACAGCCATCCCCTCGACGGGGGGCTGGATCGACCTCTTCAGCTTCCTCCTCAGGCAGGAAGTGTCCACAATCCCTGCCACTTCAACCTATGGCCGTTGGTCTTCAGGAATCCAGGCACGTGAGAGCCCCATGTCGACAGTGTGGTCGTCAACACTGGGTGATACCGCATACCTGTAGACTCACCCACTAAAGATCCCGGACACACACTCTTCGGGTCTACAACACCCCGCCGATAACGCACCGCGACAAGCCTCCCACTTTAAGTCCGAAACTCCAGGTTCGGACCAATCTAAAACCACCTCGTCGCACGCTTTTGAGAAATTCGCCTGTCAAACGAACAGAATCTTCAACTGTTCAATTGTCCCAGACGAGGAAACCAACGTGAGCACCGCAACCGCCAAGACACCGGAGGCCATCGCGGAGCCGGAAGGTGAAGACGCCGTGTCGACCCTGCCGTCGCTGCGCCTTCGGCGGAGGAGAACGCATCAGTGGAACGCTTCTCGGTCTCGACGGACGTTGGGGTTTCGCCAGACGCCTTGGAGGCCGTGAGCATTGAGCGCGACGGCCTGGCGGACATGTTGCGGCAAAGCGAGGCCCACGTCCAAATGCGGCTCCCGAAGAACAACTTCTTGGAGCGCCAAGTTGAGATCGTCGCCCGGACGTCCGTGCAGCAGGAGCTTGAATTCACGCACCGTCGTGCGCACTTGGAACAAGAAGAAGTAGTCCTCAAGGCCCGGTCGTTGCGCCTGGCGGCGAGACAGAGACGGGCACAGGAATCGACTGCGGCTCCGTTTCAGGTCACAGAGCAGACCCGGGATTCCGTTACCGATCAGCTGCACACGCCGGCGTACGTCGAGGCGTTGATCGATCGTCACGCCATGGAGCTTCGTGCATCGCTTTTACCGACGCGACGGTCCAGCCTGGTGCACTTCTTGTGTTATCCTCATTCGTTCTGGCCGGCTGCTCTCCGCGCTTGTGTGGCCTTGACATTGATGGAGAAGCACCACGGCGCACCCGCAGTCATCTCATATTGACCAAAGAAGGGTCGCAGGCGTGGCCTGAAGTCCCGTCGGTGAGGGCCGACGGCAGCCGTTGGTGCTCTCCTGTGATGCCGACCGACGATCTCTTGACGAAGGGTATCCGGAATACCAACTGCAACGTTTCACGTCGCCACCGTCAACAAAGCCGCCATCGATATCTTGGACGTCGCGAACGCGATCATGAAGAACCCGGTCTGGGCTTCCAGCTATCCATTCGTGGTCGATCCAGACCCGCGCCTCCGTCAACCGAACTCTCAGAGGACGCATCGACTCTCGCCGCCTCCCGGAGCCACTCAGGAGCCAGCCGATGACGAGACCAAAGACGACTAGAAGCCTTCGGCGTGATCGCTCGGCAGCCCACGCCGCTTCGTAATTGGATTTCGACGGACTTGATAGCATCGGAGGAGCTAATACATTTTTTGATTCTTCTTTTCTTCATGCACATATGCAAACATGCATTTCTTCGCCTCCCAACATCATCGACAGGCGCGAAGTTGGGCCATAGTACTCTCGTACTTCAGCCTCCTCGTCGAGCTGGGACAGACGAGGACTGCGCCGTAGCACAGGTAGTCTGGCCTTTTCCCGGGGACGATCCTCGTACTCATCGACAAAAGAGCGGTAGTCTCTCAGCTTGGACACCCAGTCGACCAGTCCGTCGGCGTACTCCACCAAGTATTCCCGTTCTTGAGGAGTCCCGTAGCGACGATCCAGGACTGCCGTGACAGCAGACAACGAATTGGAAAACGCCACGTCTCC